TAAGTTTTCTATAAAACAAATAAAGCGTTAACTCATGAATCCTTATTTAATCATTTAGCAGGCCCGTAAAAGTAAAATGAGTGGTCGATCGCAAGACCGGATTCATGATTCTACTGAATCACAGATTGGCAAAGCCTAGGCAAAATTGACCACCCTGTTAATGGAACAAAAAAGAATCAAACCTGTCGGCTTTTTCTCTTCGCTTGTGTTGATCGTCCAAAATAAAAAATAGTATCGGGTTTTTTTTTGAATCCAGCAGATAACCAGTTTTGCGCTTGAAATTCCTTGTCTCTATTGGCCAGGCGATGTAAGGGAGAATATCCCTTACAATAGTGTCTGAGTGGAGAGAGCAGTATCCTGTTCTCAGTAACAGAGACTTACCCGGTGTTTGGTCGCCGGAGGGCGCTAATTGAGTGAAAATGCTAGGCAAGAGTTTCTCTTGCCCGTAGCAAATGCCTGTGATCATTTCTGGTTACTTCCGGTAACTTCCGGTTCACTTCCGGTGACGTCAGGTGACTTCCGGTTCACTTCCGGTTCACCTCTAAATCATTGCTATAAGTGTACATCCATTCATATACCTTACAAGAGCATAACTGAGCTAATGCTCACTTGAAACAGCGCCACCTGGTGCATGCTCTCGCGCCCCACCTAGTGTCAGCTCTCGAGCGCCACCTAGTGGACAATCAGGAATAGCTCTCTAGTGACCTCTAGTGGTGGCTCAGTTGCGCCACCTATGGTGAGCACAAAACTTGAGATCTCATCCTGATTCATCAGTGACTGAGGATCGACTTCATTCGATGAAGGTCCTGGAACATTCTGGACACCCTTACTCACTATGACTCACGATTACGAAGGATGACATCATTTGGAGAATCTACTCGAATATTCCATCACTGTTCTAAGAAGCTTGAAGATTCATCTATCCCGATCAAGGAGCTTCTCGACTGTTCTTATTTTCCCTTTTCTGTACTATATAAAGCGTGCACCTTGCTGTTAGCTCATTATTATAATTCAGTAGAATAAAACCGACAAAAACAACTTGACTCTCTTTTATCCAGCAGAAACCAGCAGTACCCGAAGAAGCGACAGCAAGTGCAGCACCAACAACTAGGACTCATAGAGTACTAGTGGACTAGAGAGACCCCCCAGAGATTCTTCTCCTTTATATTGGTGACTGAAGTGCCGAATTCCCGCCCTATAAAGAGAATGGACCCAATGATTAATTTGTGACCAGGGTGAGTCAAAGTGAGCGGAGTTCAACCATATGTTGAGCCACCGACAGACGAGCCTTTAGGAAGCAAATTAATCGGAATATGCCAGTCAAAAAAGTGCATGGGTTTTATTGCATAAGACGCGAAAATTTGGCTGTTATATTTTTCTGAGATATGTTTCGTTGAAAAGACCTACACCGAAGCCTGATTGGCTTAAATTGTTTAATGAAAATTAGCCGAAGTTATGACTCAGAATGTCATGTTGTCCTGAGATAATAATCTCTAATGACGAATATTTTTGCGCGAAATTCAAAATTTCAATTTCACCGACCAAAATTTTACCGAAATAAGGATTATTTTCGTTTGAGAAGAACCAAGCATAGATGAAAAGTATATTTCTTGACGAAATGAAAATTGTAGTTAAAGCGTGATAAAGCGATAAGAAATTAAGCGAAAATTTTTTATTCTCGGTAAAGGAATTGAAACGAATAAATTGGCTACCGTACTCAATTTATCAATGAAGTGAAGGTAACAAAATTTCGATTCAAGAGAATGATTGAATATGACGGCAAATAAGACCTCAAACGAGAAAGGAGGCAGCTAGTTCAAGGAATATTCAAGAAGAAAAGATCCGGGACTAGGGATATCGTGGAAGAATCCAGGTATCATATTCTCACAAGATGATGAGAATGGCCGTTATTGAAGATAAAAGTTTAGGCGAGTCTAAGATTTTGGAACCTAAGTGGAATCGATTTGTTGAGTCCCAAAGTCAATGATTTTGAAATAGAGCAATTGAGAACGACATGATATGTCAGAGTCATGATCTGCTACAAATTAAAATTGTAAAAACTTACGACTAGAAAATGCAATCTAACTGAAAAACCCGACATAAAAGCGGCTAGTCAAAGTTCAAGTGATAGATCGAAAGTACAGAAAAATCTGAACGTAAAAGTAAAGGTCAACGATAAGAATTTTTTCTTTTTCCGATGAGGGGGAGGAGATGTAAGGGAGAATATCCCTTACAATAGTGTCTGAGTGGAGAGAGCAGTATCCTGTTCTCAGTAACAGAGACTTACCCGGTGTTTGGTCGCCGAAGCGCTAATTGAGTGAAAATGCTAGGCAAGAGTTTCTCTTGCCCGTAGCAAATGCCTGTGATCATTTCTGGTTACTTCCGGTAACTTCCGGTTCACTTCCGGTGACGTCAGGTGACTTCCGGTTCACTTCCGGTTCACCTCTAAATCATTGCTATAAGTGTACATCCATTCATATACCTTACAAGAGCATAACTGAGCTAATGCTCACTTGAAACAGCGCCACCTGGTGCATGCTCTCGCGCCCCACCTAGTGTCAGCTCTTGAGCGCCACCTAGTGGACACTCAGGAATAGCTCTCTAGTGACCTCTAGTGGTGGCTCAGTTGCGCCACCTATGGTGAGCACAAAACTTGAGATCTCATCCTGATTCATCAGTGACTGAGGATCGACTTCATTCGATGAAGGTCCTGGAACATTCTGGACACCCTTACTCACTATGACTCACGATTACGAAGGATGACATCATTTGGAGAATCTACTCGAATATTCCATCACTGTTCTAAGAAGCTTGAAGATTCATCTATCCCGATCAAGGAGCTTCTCGACTGTTCTTATTTTCCCTTTTCTGTACTATATAAAGCGTGCACCTTGCTGTTAGTTCATTATTATAATTCAGTAGAATAAAACCGACAAAAACAACTTGACTCTCTTTTATCCAGCAGAAACCAGCAGTACCCGAAGAAGCGACAGCAAGTGCAGCACCAACAACTAGGACTCATAGAGTACTAGTGGACTAGAGAGACCCCCCAGAGATTCTTCTCCTTTATAGGCGATGCAATCAGAGGCGCTCCAAATTTTTTCTTGCATTTTTTTGATGTACCTGAATTTCTTTTCCAAAATTTAATGTAAACAAATTCTTACTCTTGTAGCTCTGGAATTGTCCGTTATCTTTTCGTACATGAATACCAGGAGTGGTAGCTTTCCGATTGATATTTTTTCAGAAATTTGGGAGCAAATTCACTTTTATCGTTTAGCATTACTGTAATCAACCTTCGAAAGGTCAGAGGTAAACGTTCATTGTTGCAAGAGACATCGAAAAGAAGGAAAAAAAGTAAAAAAAAACTCTCATTTTTTGGAATGTTGTTTTCAGGTTGCCGAATATTTATCAGCGCCCTTTAAAAATCGCCAGTCAAACAATAGCCCAAAGACAATAAAGACGTGTCATATTGCCATTGACGAAATGTCGCCCTTTTCGCGAACCAATGATGGAATAAGCTTTAAATTTGTTTTTTTGGGTTTAACCTTAGTCGCAATAAAATGACAAGGCTATTTAAATTTAAGATTAAATAAAGCCCCGTCGCTAGAATTTAGTCAGTTGAGGAGCCGAAACTGAATTTAATTAGCGGGCTGTCCTCCCCTTCGGGTCGGCTTGGCTCCTCACCTGACTGAATTCTAGCGACGAGACAAGCCTCCCCTACGGGTCGGCTTGGCCCCCGATCTTACTGAATTCAAGAAACGGGGCTGGCCTTACCTTCGGGTCGGCTTGGCCCCTTACCTGACTGAATTCTAGCGACGAGACTGGCCTCCCCTAGGGTTCCGCACGATTGGAGGACCTTATTTTTCAAAATCCAAATCCTTATTGTATTAAGAATTGACTTTTTATAAAGTTTAGGTTTTCGAATACGGCGAAAAAATGATGATATTAATATTCCGATTCACCATCGGAGTCGCCGATTTCTCTCGGTTTTCATACTTCTAGTGGCAGCACAAACTTCGCGTTGCCAAATTATGATAGCGATAAAATAAAAAATCATTTTTCTTTTTGAAAGTTTCTCTAAAAATTCACCGTTTTCTTGTGCTGGTAGTTTTAATTCTAGCAGTTTGTTATGAATCGCCGTGAGAAAGCTAGGTGCGCTCTGATTGGTTAAAAACGAAGCAGCCTCTGGAGGCCCTCTTATAACGGAAGAATGATTATTCTTATGAAACCAGAAAGAACTTATTAGAATAATTAAAAAATCCAAAAACTGCCTCAAAATTCAACCCCTCACTTTGGTCTAATGCCCCTCTCAAAGTGCAAATCGACCTGCAGAAGTATCTATCCACCAAGTTTATCGCCAGTGACTGTCCAACTGTGCAAAAACATTCGTCGCGTTTCTTAACTTATCCGATCATGCTGATTCTACCAAAAATAAAGATTAGCGTCTATACTTTTAGATAAACGAAAAGATTTTGAATCCCAAAGCCCAAAAAAGTAGATACGATTTGAAAATGACCTAAAATGGCCATTTTTCAAAATGTTAATCACTTTGACGGCCTCTAATGCATAAGCGAATGTTTTGCTGGCAAGCTGATTCTACCAGAATTTGCTCCTTTCGAAGCGGGCTTTCTAATGCGCCCAAAACCAGCTACGTAAGCTCAAAAAAGTAGATAGAGGTCAAAGTTGGTGAGATCGGGGGATCCCTTAAATAGGGGGACTAGGGGCGAAAAATGATAGCTGTCTCTTCTTTTAGAAACTCTACTCTCTTTCAAATAAAGTTTCTGTTCTTGCGCTTGATGTGCTGTCTCAGTCTTTTCTTGACGTAGAAGTTCTAGAAATTAAAAAGCATTTTTTTTCTCGAAAACTTAATTTTTTTTCTAGATTACAATTTCAGCCTAAATTTTTAACGCAATAAAATTCATTCGAATTTTTGAATCATTGAGCGAGTAATTTTTCTCAATTTTATCGTCAAGATGTTTTCTTTCAACAAGCGATCTTTTATGAAGTTCCTTCGCGCACCGCTTATTATTAAGCCTTCCAACACGAAAGTCCGATTCACCGGCTTTTCAAGAGAATACCTCGAAACTATCTTAGAGAATTCCGAAGAATGGGAGAAAATTGCAAAGAAACATTCGAGAAACACTTCTGGATTTTATTCAGCGATAATTCCCTATCTCGAAGGTATGATACATCTAAGTTATTTTTTCTATCCTCCTTCATAGACATCATCACAAACCAACCAGAACTTGTCTTTGACAATTGCTTGAAAGGAATGAAATTGACAAAGAAAAAAAATCAGGTTCGTCGAGACCTTGAGCACTGGTTTCGAATCGAAAACGAGTTTTTTTCGAAGGAAGATTGCGTTACTTTTGCGGCGAAAGATCTTGGAACCCGATCGACTGGTCTGTCGCAAATATTGAAAACGACTGAAATCAACGAAGACAACAACGACAAAATGAACGAGGCGTTCATTGAAGATTCTGGTGAGCTTGAGGAAGAATGGATGCCTGAATCAGAAGAAATAATCCAAGAAGATGAAGTTGTCGACAAAATCCAGGAAGCAAATGATGAGCCGGAACGGGTTAAAGATAAATCGCCGATCACCGATATTTTTCTTCGCAGCGGGAAACTTCCTAGTAACGGAAAAGGTGGTGATAACAGAACTTGGAGTCCCAAATTTATCAACTTGTCGCTGGAAATGCTTATTAAAGGAGAAACAGCAAGTAGCATCCACAATTTCTTTAAAACGACAGCAAAGTATTATCCCGAGCTTCTGGGCGAAGAAAAAAGAGTTCCATCGCCTGACTGGTTTGAGCGACTTCGTGATTCATTGAAGTATTTGAACGAAGAGCACACCAAAGATGTCATTCTTAAAGGCAAACGATTCCACCTCGCAAGTGACGGCGCAGCCATGTTAGATGCATCCAAAACGATTTCAGTCGGGCTGATAGACGAGTCTGGCAAGCTTCATCTCATCGGAACCGAGCGTTCGATCGGAGGTACAAGTCAAATAATTGCCGACCAAATGATTGCGATCATAAACAAGACCAGTTTGGGACGAGTCATCGGCGAGAAGATTGATCTCCTTATGTCTGACCAGCAGTCAGCTCAAATCAACGCAAACGCAATCGTTGCAGAAAAACTGACGCGGGAAATCAACAAGGAAGCACCTCCATCACTCTTTTGTGCGATGCACTGCGTTTCGAACTGCGACAAGAACAGCTGTTCTGCGTTAAAAGAGGTCAATGAAGAAGCATTTACCTTACTGGAACTTGTGAAGAGTGTCTTCGGAAAACCAGAAAAATTTGGGTACGTCCAACAGGATGGTCGCCGATCGCTTCAGCTGCTTCTTAAATACGATTTGGAGAGCACCAGAACAAAGATTTTCTCTCATGATCTAGGTAACTTCCTTCGAATGATTTTTCTCAATTAATGTTAATAGGCAAGCGCTTCGGTAATGACTGTCGCAACTCGGGCGCTCTTGTGAGACATTTTCCGACGGTGATGAACGCGACAAAGCACATGATGACAAGAAGTTTTGAGGACAGCAAGTTTCACCAGATCCACAAACTTTGCTCCGGTCGAGATAATGGGGTTTTGCTCGACGCTGCAACATTGTTCCTGAACTACTGCGCGAACATCAATCATTTCCACAAGAAGATCTCAAAGGTGAACAACGAAGCTCTGTCTTTCCTGGGATTGAAAGACTTGTTCCAGTCAGTGATTCAGCGAATGGAGACGATTGTTGATTCAAACGAGCCGTATTCGTGTCTTTTGGAGAAGGCGGCTCTGATGTCTTCATCCGAGGAATCTAAAAAAACCGTGGAACTGATTGAAGAAAGATTCCAGAAGGTTTCCGCAACAAGAATCAAGCGACTGAACACTGTTGCTGTTGCTGTTGTCGGTGGAAGTCTGAAGAAATACATGAAGGATTTCGGGCTTCTAAAGGATTTGAACTTGCCAGACGACAGAAAAATTAGTTGCTCGAACAGAGCAGTCGGTAATTTTCTTTTGAATAAAGCATATCTGAATTTCAATTAAGAATCGTCCTTCGCCACTCTCAAGGGATTTGAGAAATCAATCCAAAATCTATGCCACGAAAAGATGTACGAAAACGGGCGAGCCAAATTCAACAAGCTGAATGAATGGCTGGATGATCTTAAGCCGCACGAAGCAGAATCGAAGCTGATGGCGGCTTTTAGAAGCCAGAAAACTCAGCGCGAAGAGAGAAAAAGAAGAAGCCTACAGGAAGACCAACGCCAGCTAGCGCTCATACCGCGAAAATTTAAAAAATCTGTCATTGTTCCACAGTAAATTTAAAATGTAAATTCTGAAAATCACTATGTCGTTATAACTTCTCTTTTTCTTTCACTCAATTTCGCAGGGTCCCGCAATTTTTCCACTTTTGAGAGTCGATAGAATTAGACGAATAAGGGCTCTATAGAAAGCTTAAATTTGGCCGCTTTTTCAAAAATAAAAATTTTCCATCAGAATTGGGCCCAAATGATGCTATTTCTGATCATTTTTCGCTTTTTAAAGTGTCTATCATTTATAATGACTAAATTCTAATAACCAGATAATATATAAAGCAAAAAATATTTCGAAAATAATAAATAATAAGCATATCATAAATAGGCAGAATATAAACAAGTAAAAATTTCAAGAAAATTCATTAATAATCTGAGAATCCCATTTTTGAAGATTTCGAAACTTTGCTATTTTCAAAATGAGCCCTCATCCTTTAAAAACCTTTAAAAAACCGACCAAAAAAGTAGTTCGAAGTCAAAGTTGACGAAATCGGGGATTGATTAAAATCCAAAAAATGTCCGGAAACTTTGACTCCGGAAATTTCGAGTCGAAACTCGGTAAACGGGACCACCCCCAAGTAGCTGTTGGCTGAGTGGTGAGCGCAGTCCTTCAAAAGGATTGGCGGACGGGCGTGAGCTCGAATCTCAAAAAGAATTTTTCTTTTTCGAGGCCCATCCGCGTTTTCCATGTTGAAGCTAGAAAGCCAAACATGGAAAAGGGGGTGCGTTCGAGCTGGCTTCGAGCTCGCCGCCTCCTCTTTGCAAAGAGAAGCGCTCACCACTCAGCCAACTCCAGGGCGACGGTGGTTAGCATTACCCGATTTATATTCCCGCGACGAGCGCCAGCCAATCAGCGCGCAGCAGGCCTCTTTGGCAAAATTTACTTTGAAGCCCTAAAAAGGGCTGAAGGGGGGATTTTTGGGGAAAACAGAGGCCAGGAATGAGTTCCTTGGCATATTTTTGGTGGAATCTCCAAATTTTATTAAAAAATAAATTTTTGGTCCAATCGTGCGGAACCCTAGCCTCCCCTTCGGGTCGGCTTTGCCTCCCACCAGACTGAATTCTAGCGACGAGACGGGCCTCCCCTTCGGGTCGGCTAGGCCTCTTTCCTGACTGAATTCTATCAACGGGACGGGCCTCCCCTTTGGGTCGGCTAAGCCCCTTACCTGACTGAATTATAGTGATGGAGATGGCCTCCCCTTCGGGTCGGCTTGGCCTTTACCTAACTGAATTCAAGAAAGGGGGCTGTTTCAGGCACTTTGAAGTAAACTCCACTTTAATCTCGTGAATAAACCGATCTTTTGGTCTTCAAGCTGTAAGTCTTCCACCCGAGGGTTCCTCCAGGTGGTCCTTCGGAATAAAGTGACTTAAAGTGGCCGAACGTGGGAACTTGTGAACATTTAAGGCTCTTTATTGATATTTTCTCTATTTTTGTTTTCAAGCAGTCTGGTTGGTCTTAAAGAAAGTAATATGGCAATTACTTTCTATTCAAGGCTTCATTTTTCATTTGTATTTAATTTTTAAATATTTGTCTTCCAGCAACCTGTCTTCCAGCAGAAGGGTCCTCCTATCCACCAAGTTTATCGCCAGTGACTGTCCAACTGTGCAAAAAACATTCGTCGCGTTTCTTAACTTATCCGATCATGCTGATTCTACCAAAAAATAAAGATTAGCGTCTATACTTTTAGATAAACGAAAAAGATTTTGAATCCCAAAGCCCAAAAAAAGTAGATACGATTTGAAAATGACCTAAAATGGCCATTTTTCAAAATGTTAATCACTTTGACGGCCTCTAATGCATAAGCGAATGTTTTGCTGGCAAGCTGATTCTACCAGAATTTGCTCCTTTCGAAGCGGGCTTTCTAATGCGCCCAAAACCAGCTACGTAAGCTCAAAAAAAAGTAGATAGAGGTCAAAGTTGGTGAGATCGGGGGGGGGGATCCCTTAAATAGGGGGACTAGGGGCGAAAAATGATAGCTGTCTCTTCTTTTAGAAACTCTACTCTCTTTCAAATAAAGTTTCTGTTCTTGCGCTTGATGTGCTGTCTCAGTCTTTTCTTGACGTAGAAGTTCTAGAAATTAAAAAGCATTTTTTTTCTCGAAAACTTAATTTTTTTTCTAGATTACAATTTCAGCCTAAATTTTTAACGCAATAAAATTCATTCGAATTTTTGAATCATTGAGCGAGTAATATTTCTCAATTTTATCGTCAAGATGTTTTCTTTCAACAAGCGATCTTTTATGAAGTTCCTTCGCGCACCGCTTATTATTAAGCCTTCCAACACGAAAGTCCGATTCACCGGCTTTTCAAGAGAATACCTCGAAACTATCTTAGAGAATTCCGAAGAATGGGAGAAAATTGCAAAGAAACATTCGAGAAACACTTCTGGATTTTATTCAGCGATAATTCCCTATCTCGAAGGTATGATACATCTAAGTTATTTTTTCTATCCTCCTTCATAGACATCATCACAAACCAACCAGAACTTGTCTTTGACAATTGCTTGAAAGGAATGAAATTGACAAAGAAAAAAAATCAGGTTCGTCGAGACCTCGAGCACTGGTTTCGAATCGAAAATGAGTTTTTTTCGAAGGAAGATTGCGTTACTTTTGCGGCGAAAGATCTTGGAACCCGATCGACTGGTCTGTCGCAAATATTGAAAACGACTGAAATCAACGAAGACAACAACGACAAAATGAACGAGGCGTTCATTGAAGATTCTGGTGAGCTTGAGGAAGAATGGATGCCTGAATCAGAAGAAATAATCCAAGAAGATGAAGTTGTCGACAAAATCCAGGAAGCAAATGATGAGCCGGAACGGGTTAAAGATAAATCGCCGATCACCGATATTTTTCTTCGCAGCGGGAAACTTCCTAGTAACGGAAAAGGTGGTGATAACAGAACTTGGAGTCCCAAATTTATCAACTTGTCGCTGGAAATGCTTATTAAAGGAGAAACAGCAAGTAGCATCCACAATTTCTTTAAAACGACAGCAAAGTATTATCCCGAGCTTCTGGGCGAAGAAAAAAGAGTTCCATCGCCTGACTGGTTTGAGCGACTTCGTGATTCATTGAAGTATTTGAACGAAGAGCACACCAAAGATGTCATTCTTAAAGGCAAACGATTCCACCTCGCAAGTGACGGCGCAGCCATGTTAGATGCATCCAAAACGATTTCAGTCGGGCTGATAGACGAGTCTGGCAAGCTTCATCTCATCGGAACCGAGCGTTCGATCGGAGGTACAAGTCAAATAATTGCCGACCAAATGATTGCGATCATAAACAAGACCAGTTTGGGACGAGTCATCGGCGAGAAGATTGATCTCCTTATGTCTGACCAGCAGTCAGCTCAAATCAACGCAAACGCAATCGTTGCAGAAAAACTGACGCGGGAAATCAACAAGGAAGCACCTCCATCACTCTTTTGTGCGATGCACTGCGTTTCGAACTGCGACAAGAACAGCTGTTCTGCGTTAAAAGAGGTCAATGAAGAAGCATTTACCTTACTGGAACTTGTGAAGAGTGTCTTCGGAAAACCAGAAAAATTTGGGTACGTCCAACAGGATGGTCGCCGATCGCTTCAGCTGCTTCTTAAATACGATTTGGAGAGCACCAGAACAAAGATTTTCTCTCATGATCTAGGTAACTTCCTTCGAATGATTTTTCTCAATTAATGTTAATAGGCAAGCGCTTCGGTAATGACTGTCGCAACTCGGGCGCTCTTGTGAGACATTTTCCGACGGTGATGAACGCGACAAAGCACATGATGACAAGAAGTTTTGAGGACAGCAAGTTTCACCAGATCCACAAACTTTGCTCCGGTCGAGATAATGGGGTTTTGCTCGACGCTGCAACATTGTTCCTGAACTACTGCGCGAACATCAATCATTTCCACAAGAAGATCTCAAAGGTGAACAACGAAGCTCTGTCTTTCCTGGGATTAAAAGACTTGTTCCAGTCAGTGATTCAGCGAATGAAGACGATTGTTGATTCAAACGAGCCGTATTCGTGTCTTTTGGAGAAGGCGGCTCTGATGTCTTCATCCGAGGAATCTAAAAAAACCGTGGAACTGATTGAAGAAAGATTCCAGAAGGTTTCCGCAACAAGAATCAAGCGACTGAACACTGTTGCTGTTGCTGTTGTCGGTGGAAGTCTGAAGAAATACATGAAGGATTTCGGGCTTCTAAAGGATTTGAACTTGCCAGACGACAGAAAAATTAGTTGCTCGAACAGAGCAGTCGGTAATTTTCTTTTGAATAAAGCATATCTGAATTTCAATTAAGAATCGTCCTTCGCCACTCTCAAGGGATTTGAGAAATCAATCCAAAATCTATGCCACGAAAAGATGTACGAAAACGGGCGAGCCAAATTCAACAAGCTGAATGAATGGCTGGATGATCTTAAGCCGCACGAAGCAGAATCGAAGCTGATGGCGGCTTTTAGAAGCCAGAAAACTCAGCGCGAAGAGAGAAAAAGAAGAAGCCTACAGGAAGACCAACGCCAGCTAGCGCTCATACCGCGAAAATTTAAAAAATCTGTCATTGTTCCACAGTAAATTTAAAATGTAAATTCTGAAAATCACTATGTCGTTATAACTTCTCTTTTTTCTTTCACTCAATTTCGCAGGGTCCCGCAATTTTTCCACTTTTGAGAGTCGATAGAATTAGACGAATAAGGGCTCTATAGAAAGCTTAAATTTGGCCGCTTTTTCAAAAATAAAAATTTTCCATCAGAATTGGGCCCAAATGATGCTATTTCTGATCATTTTTCGCTTTTTTAAAGTGTCTATCATTTATAATGACTAAATTCTAATAACCAGATAATATATAAAGCAAAAAATATTTCGAAAATAATAAATAATAAGCATATCATAAATAGGCAGAATATAAACAAGTAAAAATTTCAAGAAAATTCATTAATAATCTGAGAATCCCATTTTTGAAGATTTCGAAACTTTGCTATTTTCAAAATGAGCCCTCATCCTTTAAAAACCTTTAAAAAACCGACCAAAAAAAAAGTAGTTCGAAGTCAAAGTTGACGAAATCGGGGGGATTGATTAAAATCCAAAAAATGTCCGGAAACTTTGACTCCGGAAATTTCGAGTCGAAACTCGGTAAACGGGACCACCCCCCAAGTAGCTGTTGGCTGAGTGGTGAGCGCAGTCCTTCAAAAAGGATTGGCGGACGGGCGTGAGCTCGAATCTCAAAAAGAATTTTTCTTTTTCGAGGCCCATCCGCGTTTTCCATGTTGAAGCTAGAAAGCCAAACATGGAAAAGGGGGTGCGTTCGAGCTGGCTTCGAGCTCGCCGCCTCCTCTTTGCAAAGAGAAGCGCTCACCACTCAGCCAACTCCAGGGCGACGGTGGTTAGCATTACCCGATTTATATTCCCGCGACGAGCGCCAGCCAATCAGCGCGCAGCAGGCCTCTTTGGCAAAATTTACTTTGAAGCCCTAAAAAGGGCTGAAGGGGGGATTTTTGGGGAAAACAGAGGCCAGGAATGAGTTCCTTGGCATATTTTTGGTGGAATCTCCAAATTTTATTAAAAAATAAATTTTTGGTCCAATCGTGCGGAACCCTAGCCTCCCCTTCGGGTCGGCTTTGCCTCCCACCAGACTGAATTCTAGCGACGAGACGGGCCTCCCCTTCGGGTCGGCTAGGCCTCTTTCCTGACTGAATTCTATCAACGGGACGGGCCTCCCCTTTGGGTCGGCTAAGCCCCTTACCTGACTGAATTATAGTGATGGAGATGGCCTCCCCTTCGGGTCGGCTTGGCCTTTACCTAACTGAATTCAAGAAAGGGGGCTGTTTCAGGCACTTTGAAGTAAACTCCACTTTAATCTCGTGAATAAACCGATCTTTTGGTCTTCAAGCTGTAAGTCTTCCACCCGAGGGTTCCTCCAGGTGGTCCTTCGGAATAAAGTGACTTAAAGTGGCCGAACGTGGGAACTTGTGAACATTTAAGGCTCTTTATTGATCTTTTCTCTATTTTTGTTTTCAAGCAGTCTGGTTGGTCTTAAAGAAAGTAATATGGCAATTACTTTCGGTAGACGGCGGGTTCCATTCTTTGTGAAGAATGATTCTTTTTTCAAAGAATGGTTCTTTTTCGCAAAGAATCATTCTTTTTTAAGAAACCCTGAAAGGACGCATAAAAGACAGTCAAAAGTTCAGAAACAAAATCCTGTTTATGCAAATAACTCAGGAGCAAGTGTGCGCTTCGCGCCAGTGATCAGGGAAACTCCAGAGAGTTTGACATCCAAGAATTTTTATATATCCGAAAAACCTGTTTTTACCTCATTTTCTCTAGAATATTGAGAAAAAGAATGATTCTTTAAAAAGAATGGAACCCGCCGTCACCCATTACTTTCTATTCAAGGCTTCATTTTTCATTTGTATTTAATTTTTAAATATTTGTCTTCCAGCAACCTGTCTTCCAGCAGAAGGGTCCTCCGGGAGGTCCTCCGGCACAAACTGACCGAAGTTGGCCTCAAGTGTCCCTAAACTGGCCGAGGAAGGTCCTTTATTCATATATTTTAATCATGAAAAAAAATGGCGAGAAATGGCCAAAAAATGGTGTGTTTGGACCTTTCTCTAAAGCATAGCTCGAAATTTTCTTCTTATTTATAATCGTTTTTCCCTGATTCTAGTGAAAAAATGTCTGCTCTTTCATCCTGTCATGCCAGAATTATGAAAAGAGGGTGATCCGACGAAATGCGGAGCCAAAAACTAGAAAATGCACCATTTTCACGATTTTGACCCCCCGAAAATCGTCTCCCCCAAAATTTTTTTTTCTTTTAAAAGTGGTTTTAAACTAATAAGACACTGTTCTTTCACCTCCACTTATAAAAAACACCCCCGCACTGCTAGAAAAAATGACGATTTTTCTTATGCGAAGCCTAAATATATGGCAATAGAGGAAGTTTTGATATGCTTGCCAGAGGATTATCGGCCGGGGCTTAAAAATGGATTAGAAAAATATTCATGGAGTTTCAGTAGAAACTAGTCTGACTGTGGTTATTCAAATACTTACGTGGCAGATTTGAAATTGGAAGATCCAAATGGCAGGCCGACGTTTTGTCGACCATATGATATTGAAAATGCCTGACTTATAGTGGTGGAGAGCAAACTGGGGGAAATGGAAGGTACAGGGGTTGTGCCTGAAGGATATTCAGGGCGGAATGCTCCATCGCTAATTCGTGTACCAAAATTTTTTGGTATTCGAATACCAATTTTTTTCTACCAGACTAAATTTTTTCGTTCAAAAAACTACTAAACTACTCCCAAAGGTTCCTACAAGACAGGCGCGGAGCGCATAGGGTCTCTTTAGGTACACCATTTGGACTTTTTGAGGAAATTTGATATTCGAATACCAATTTTGGTATCGCTAAATGAAAAATAAGTGATCCCAAGATGGCCAATTTTACCAATAAGATAGATTTTGACGCTCATTTCGAGACATACAACGGATTTGGGAAGGGATTTTTCAGGAGAAACGATATATTTTGGGTCATGGGACATACGCAACGCTTATTACACTTTGAGCTTAAGGGAGTCAGTGAGGGAATACACAATTTATATTTTCGGGGCAAAACAATTCGAGTATGCGAAAATGAGGGTCAATACTGAAAACGGCACGAATTCACTGAAAATTGCACGAAAACAGAGACACAGTTTTTTGCGTATTAATCTCGAGGAATTTTATGAATTAAACGGGGAAATAAACGGATTTAGTTGAAACGATAGTAATTTAACAACTTGATAAGTTCAATTATCATGATCTTAAACAAAAAAAAATATAAGAAACTATTTTGAATTGATCGCGAATTCAGGCCGAAAAAGATACATACCTGTGAAGTCAGCGAAAAGAATGATAAAATTATAGAGGTACAGTCGTTTTTAAAGTATAGGACACCACCCATCGGTGGCACGGACTTAGACTTGGTCGTACGAACTCGGCGTTGGCCATATCGCCAACGCTGGAATAGAGAGAGAGGAGCTGTCAAGGCATGATGGAGTGGTAGCCTTGGTGCTGGGCACGTCACGGCTCACTGAGCATAATTATGTTGACCGCGCGCTAGAATCCCATATTTCGAAGCGAAAACATTAGGAAAACCACTACAAAAACGTCAAAAAATAGTACAAATTTAATTCGAAATGAAAAGACTCCGCCGACCCAGCTCCGCGCGCTCGGCTCGCTCTTTTCACTCTCTTTTTCTATGGGTACAATATTTTTCGATTTTCATGAAATTCAAGGGCCAAACTAAGCTTTTCATTCATTCTCCCCTCCATACAGTCGTTACGCACAATTCCGGACACTTTTTTTTTCAGCAAAAAGGGCAAAATGTCCGTAATTGTGCGGATTCTAGATGGAAAAAATTTTTGTTTTCAAAATGCTTGTTTTTATTCAAAACGTAAAATGTCGAGAAAAAAGCAGAGAAAACGGCCAGGATCTACCCGTGTCGATGTAGAATTCAAACAAAGGCAGTTTTACTGTCGATTAATCAAAGCTGGCGCCGGATACAAGGAAGTCAACAAACATTTCGAGAAGAAAGAACATAAAAAGCTGCCTAGAGTAACATTCTACGATTGGAGAAATAAAGCAGACGAGATTCTGGCTGCTGGAAAGGTTGCGAACCGTTGCCGACCAGACTACAAGCAGAGTGACATTCGAAAAGAGTTTGACGATGATCTTCTGGCGATAATTGAATCTTCGACTTCTGAATGTTGACCCTTCTGCGCTTGGAGTTACGAACGTTGCCCTGGGTTTTTTCAAGCCAGGGACAACTGGGGCATATCAGCCACTCGATCAGGTATTTTTCGCCTGTCTTAAAGTCGGGGGTTTGTCAATACTTCGTTAAAAATTATTAAAAGATAAATTAATTTAAAACTATGTAAAAATATATAATTTTGACGATCTCCTAATAAAAGGAAAGTACCGAAAATGGCTGCGGTCTTTCCGACAAGAGCACCAAAAAACTTCGCCTGGACTGGAGTTGGGAGTCAAAACTGCAGTCAGGCTCGTCTCCGAAATGTCTCCCAACATTATACGGACATGTTGGCGAAAATCCGGCATTCCTCGATTATTAGCTCGAAAAAAATTTTGGTACACGAATTAGCGATGGAGCATTCCGCCCTGAATATCCTTCAGGCACAACCCCTGTACCTTCCATTTCCCCCAGTTTGCTCTCCACCACTATAAGTCGGGCATTTTCAATATCATATGGTCGACAAAACGTCGGCCTGCCATTTGGATCTTCCAATTTCAAATCTGCCACGTAAGTATTTGAATAACCACAGTCAGACTAGTTTCTACTGTTTGTATTTAAAAATTTTCATATGTTGTAGCTACGCTGAGTTGCGGCAGAAACCTTCATGCTCGATTTCACTTTGAGACTCAACTTATTGGAAAGCGATTTCGTTTTGTTTATTTCAGTAAAGCTATCGGATAAAAACAATTTAGGGATCCCCCCCCCCGATTTCGCCAACTTTGACCTCTATCTACTTTTTTTGAGCTTACGTAGGAAGCTGGTTTTGGGCGCATTCGAAAGTCCGCTTCTAAATGAGCAAATTCTGGTAGAATCAGCTTGCCAGCATAACATTCGCTTATGCATTACAGGCCGTCAAAGTGATTAACATTTTGAAAATGGCCATTTTAGGTCATTTTCAAATCGTATCTACTTTTTTTTGGGCTTTTGGATTCAAAATTTTTTTGGTTCATCTAAAAGTATAGACGCTAATCTTTTTTTTTTTTGGTAGAATCAGCATGATCGGATAAGTGAATTAAAAAATTCTAGTTGTAAAACTTTTTGAACCCATTTTTGGCGTTTTTTTGGTGTTTACATGCTCTCTAGCGTCAAAAATTGGCGGAAAATTCTAGTGCGGTAATTATATTCGTAATCTTCACATTCATAGCTTACGAAAGAGCCCTTGTTTGTGCTATTTTGATGACAATGAAAAATCGAAAAAAATTGCAATTTTCACAATAAACATGCATTTTCCCGAACTTTGGGAGCCAAAATTTCTGGGATGCATTTATGTAAAGGGGTTCTATCATATATCAAAATGATCCTCAAAACACGAGGAATGTAATCATAGGCGATAATGACCGGTGCCAAAGTTTTGAAAAATCGGGGGGTGATCCCTTAACCAATTGCCGAGCATTCTGCTAGATTGGCTTGCCGCTCGCGTAGCATCCGGAATGCTACGACTTTGAGCGCTATTTTCTTCCACTTCTACTTATTTTCTACGAATATTTTTTTCTTGAGGTTATTTATCGAAGCCTCATCTAAAAGATTCATATTATTTCAGATAATTAAGCTAAAGCTAGAAAGCCGAAAATAGGGAAAGAAAAAGGGTTTCTTCAGCGGCGCCATTGTTCAAATCTAGAGAAAAAGACAATGGCGCGCCGCAGAACAATAGAAAAGAAGCGCCGCGAGGGCTGACTTCATTATTTCTTTTCTATTTTCTAGCGACAAATAAATATTGTTTTAAAATTTGAAAGAAGCGAACGTATTAAAAAAAGGCTGAAATTTGCAGAAATCAAAAAATTTTTTGGAATCGGCATGTATAGGTTAGACTATTCTGCAAGGAAATAACACAACGCAACTTCAGGCAACTCTAGAGTTGAATGAAGGTTAAAAAGGGTAAAAGTTAGTTTTGGTTTATTGTCCACAAAAGTATCTCTGAGTGGTTAAGAATGGGAGTGTAAGAGGGTTTATATAGGCTTTACTTTAGCTTCGTATTCAGCTGGAACAGGTGATGGTCAGTAAGAACAGCTCGGATCGAAAAGAAGAGGTTCACAACGAGTTGTAGCAGTTCACAACGAGTTGTAGTGATTGAAGTTCAGAAGGCGTAGTTCAGATTCAGGAAAGACAGTTGAAAATGAACTACCTCATCTCGCGGCGCCGAAGGCCATTTCAAAAAATGTAGGCGGCGCCCAAGAGCAGTGGTGAGGCGAGCGGGCGTCAGACGCGCAATTGCCTTTGGCGGAATTATGTGTTCTTTTTATGAAACGAGCAGAATAGTAAGACCTATAAATTCCTCCCTCTTTATTTTTCAGACTAAAATCCATATTTTAGTCTGAGTCGGATGATGTGTATCCAGGCCATGATTCTGGCGAGCTTTCAGAGTAATTATTCCACAGATTTCCATTGATCAGTTGATCAGCATCATTCATTATTTGGCTTGGAGACGAGTTGAAGGTTGACTGTGATGTGGCGTTTTCATTTGATTTGTCAGCGGAGCGGTCATTTGACATCTCAACGTAGGGTTTGAGCCAATCAAGGCAGCTTGCAGATACATTTCGAAGAATGTCATCCATAGTTGATCCAGTGTCATTCGAAGCAGTTGGAATTTGGTTATCAAGTGGTGGGGGATGAAACATATCCTCAAAAGTTTGTCCAGTGACATCATCGGTAACTTTCGGAAGATCTGTTTGCTGTTCATCATCACTGATTGGGACTAACTCATAATTCACAGACGTCTCAGGATTTTGTTCATTATTGTTTGTAGGATGGAAACGAGTTGTTTGCTCATTGTTTGTTCCAGGCGGCAGGTTACAAGGTATTTGAGCATTAATTCCAAGCTCTCTCAGATAATCAGCGTTTAGTCTCTTTGCTTTATTTGCGATAAGTTGTAATTCGGGAATCGTGATATCTCGGAATTTCTTCCAAAGGTTTCTGCATCTGTTGAACTTATCGAAAGAAGTCAAGATATGATTGTCATCATAAGTTTCTTGACTTAAATGTCTGTAGAGGAGACTTTTTCCGGTAAATTCCAAAAGAGAACAGATGTTCACCTCTTGTGTTGGGGTTGTTAAGGTCATCACTGGAATTGGTAGTGATGTTGACCAGTTTGAGGAAGAAAACAAAAGGTTTTCGCAGTCGGAAAGATACTGGCGAATTAAAATGGTTTTTTGGTCCTCTGGTATTCTACACAGACTAACAGTATGTCCGAGTGAATATGTTAAGCAAAATTGCAGGAAGCGCTTCTTAGAGTCGTATGGTTGCATCCAGACAAAGATTTGGTTCAGGGTAGTGTTCGACATCTCTTTTGCGCTTGTGTCTCTCGTCGACACGCGATTTGAATGAAATGAAGTGAAAATCTTGGCAACCAAAATCTCAAATTTTGGCCAAAATTTTCGTAAAAAAAGGGATAGATAAGTGCTGTATAAATATTGGAGCGGCACTTTCATGGGTATCACTGCGTAGCTCTTGTATCATTTGTCATCTCGGTATGACATTGATTGTTCATCTTAGCACATGAACGTCACAGGTAACAATCATTCTTCTATCGTCGAAGATTTCTGTAAACAAGAACGGTTGCATCTTGTCGTCTTCATATTTCTACATTTTCGAATGTTGGAGAGGCATCAGTCTGAGTTGCGCGCGGTAGACTTTCAGCGTCACAAAAATCAAAAATGCGTGAGGAATATGGCCACCTAACTATTAGCAGGGAATGGAAGCTACTTTTTGGTTACGAGGCGAGGTTTGATTCGTAAGGAGGTCCCTTCTCCATGAGCGGTCGCCAAGCTGCTCTTTAGTCGGATATCCAAGTGGACTTTGTTTACAGCCATATTGTTCCACAAATATGGATTGGCACACGGGGCTTGTGAGGGCCTTCCCTCCCCCTTCACATTTTATTGGTGTCTTGGCCGCAATCTATTTGCCCAAGTATTAATGTGAGGTTCTCCAGGGCAAACTTCTTTAAGTTCTTTCATGTCATGAACTTCTTCAGCATCAAGTTTAGCAACGGTATCAGGATCTGGAGAAACTGGTGGAACGGTAACAGGAAGTTCCTCAGGGTCATTTTTGAACTTCAATGGTCGGATCAAGTTGATATGTCGACGGTACTCCCTTCGAGTTTCGACATCTTTCACAATGTAAGAGTCCTTGCTGATTCGTTTGATAACAGTGAATGGGCCGAACCAGACTCTATTTAGCTTTCTAAAAGCTGGTTTCCAGATGAGACATTTGGATCCAATCTCAAGGGTAGGAGCATTATTCTTGTCTCGTGCAAGCAGTTTCCGGTATCGAGAAACTTGATGAGCAAGAATTGACGGGTGCAATTTGTCAAAGTACTTGTTGAGTCCAGTCAACCACTTATCCTTTGATGCGCCGTCAACAGGGTTTGTTTGGAAAGGGACGTGGAATTGTCGTCCATAGTAGCACTCATTAGCACTTCTGCCATCTAGCGTCGATTTCGGTAGATTGTTGATATAATATCTAACCATTGGCCAGGCAGTTGACCAGTTACGGTGATCTGCATTTAGCAGCTTAAGTTTTGTATTGACCTCGCGATGAAGTCTTTCTAGGGCACCATTGCTTTGACTTCGGTAAGCAGTCGTTCGCGAGTGTCGGATCTCAAATTTGCGAAATACTTCAGCAACAAGCGGGCCAAATTCAGATCCGTTATCTGAGAAGGAGTCGTTGTTGATTCCATGCCGAAGGATCAAAGTAAGAATGTTTTTCGCAACAATAGGATCGCTTTTTGTTCCAAGAGGCTCTCCATCAATATAGCCAGTCAATGAGTCGGAACAAGTTAGGAGGTATCGTTTTCCTTGGTTGTCCTTTTGACCAAAATCCATCAGATCAAAGAAGGTTTTCGTAAATGGTATTGACTCAAAATACCGATTTTGGATCATTGAAGGACGTAGTTTGCTCAAAGGCTTCGTGTTGATACAAGTGGCACATGATGTTGTTATCTCACGGGTTTTGTTTGCACGTCGTGGATGAAAAACCGTTTTAACATCATGTTTAATTGTTTGCTACCAGCATGGCACGTGTAGCAATGAAGAAAGGAAATGAATTCATTGCTTAGATCTTCAGGAAGGACAAGTCGATTATCTTTGTAAAGTAACCCGTCCTTTGTTTGAAAGGGTGATTTTGGATTGCGTCCACATTTTTCAATAAGGTTTCTTGACTTCACACAATTCCTTTGAAGTTCGGATAACTCTTTCGCGGTAAAGTTTTGTTCACCAAATGAGAAGACGCTCTCTTTGCTAGCTGTCATTCTTGTGTGGAAGGCGAACACAGTCTCGGGAATATCCTCAAATTTCATTGAGTCACTCTCAAGGTCATCGCTTGATGAAGCCTCTAGACGTGAGAGATAATCAGCAGTACACATGATCGGGCTTGTGCCAGGCTCGTGAAGGATCGTGAAATTAAATTTAAGCAAGTAGTTGTGGATGTTTGTTAATTTGATATCGTTGTTTTTGTAGTCTCGCTGCTCTTTAAACAAATAACATAGTGATTTATGGTCCACAACGCAGGTGAAATGTGTATTAAGGAGGAAATACTCGAAATGGGAAATGCTGAATGCCAGTGCAAATAACTCTTTGATCCTCATAGATCGTTTCAAGTCAGGTTCTTTGAGAGCTTTCGAGAAGTAGCCCAAAATGTTGAGATTTTCACCAATTCTTTGATAGAGGATTCCGCCAACTTTCTTTCCACTACTGTCGGTGACCAAAATCAAGGGTTTTCCAAGTTGAAAGTGGGACAGTGATGGCTTCATCAACAATTCATTCTTTATTGTTTGGAAAGCGTGCTCATGTTTGTCAGCCCATTGAAATTCAACATTCTTTGATGTGAGATCGTAAAGAGGTTGCAAAATGGCACTTCCGTCTCTTATGAACTTGATGTTGTAATTGAATACTCCCAAGAGGCGTTTTACTTCGCTCTTTGACTTTGGAGCTTTTAAGTTCTTGATGGTCTCGAGATGTTTGTCAGTTGGTCGAACACCGTCTTTGCTTATTGAGTAGCCAAGAAAGTCGGCCTCAGTTCGGCATAGAAAACATTTCTTTGGTGAGAGGAGCAGGCCATTATTAACGCAGGTCTTGAAGATGAATTCCAGTGTTTCAAGGTGTTTCTCAAAGGAATTGTCAATGCAGATTATATCATCCAAGTATAAAAGAATGCTTGGGTGGTCTAGTAATTTCTGCATGATTCTTGAGAAGGCACTCGGAGCTGTTGATACACCATAAAGCATACGTTGGGCGGCATAATGTTTGTTGTTGAAGGAGAAAGCGAGCTTGTGGGAATCTTCAGCGGCAGTTTGTATTTGCCAATACCCTCGGTGGCAATCAATTTGACTGATGAAGCATGAGTTCCCATTTGAAAGACGAGTTCCGATATCTGTCAATACCACAGACAAGTGAGGCAGCGGGAACCGATCTTGTTGAATGAGTTTGTTTAAGGATCTTGCATCAAGAGAAATCCTTATAGAGCCATCGTGTTTCTTCAGAATAATCAGCGGTATATTGAAACCAGACGATGTCTCTCTGATGATGTCCAGACTTTTCCATCGCTCAATCTCTTTGCTAACCTGATCTCTCATGTGAATCGGTATTGGGCGAGGAGGTTGGTGTGTTGTCTGAGATTCATCAAGCATAGGTAGGGTGAACCGGAAATAATGAAGTTTTCCAAGGTCATCTTCACCCATTGAGAAGGCAAGTTTATATTTGCCAACGAGATCAATCAGTTTTCCTTCTTGCTCCGAAGTCGTGTCGCCGAATGAGCCAATTTCCGGTTTGAAATTCATTATTTCAGCCTTTTGACTTCGTAATCTTTGGAATGATTCTAGGGATTCCCTTTCAGTTTTAGAATCTTTGATCTCGACAATTGCATTGACATTGCAATATTTTGAGTTCTCATCGGGTCTTATTGTCCGGACTTGTTTGTTTTTCCAAACAATAAATTTCTTATCAGGAAAAGCAACATCTTTGAGGAGGTCGCAGCCAATAAGGACAGGAACACAAAGTGAGTCGACAACAAGTGGGTTTATGATCAGGGAGAGTTTTCCGTCGCCGATTGTTTGGACTGTCATTTTGATTGGTTCGGCGAGTGTTGACGGTCGGATAAATTGGTTATTTGCACAAATAATTTCCACTTTTGATGGTTTGGTGTTGTAGACGAACGGAAGACTTGAATTGATACAGGTCTTTGAAGCACCGGTGTCAAGGAGCGCGACGTAGTTGTAGCCATTGACATTGACGTTGATAAATTTCAGGTTTGAGGGAGCGTAGAACATATTCGGAATGGCAAGAACAGTTTCGGAATTTCTTAGTCATAAGAGTGACCTTGCGTATTCTTTGACCTGTGCAGGAATTTCTTGCTGCGGAGCATGTTGGTACTTGCAGGAACTTCCATATTTGCATTGGCCAGTGTTCGTGTACTTAAAGCAATATCCTTGGGCTTTGTCAAGATCAATCTTTGATTTTTTCTTCCCACTTTGCTTCTTCCGGTTAGTCTCATGGTCCGCTTTGAACTTTTTGAACTCTTCCATGAGTTGCTGGATTTGTTTGTTGATCGGGTCATTTTCAGGTTTCGTGACGGCGGCAAAATTGATCTCGCGTTTCGGAATGGATCTTTCAAGCTCGTTTGCTCGTTTAACAATCGAGCTAACATCAAGGCTAGCTTTGTCTCGCAACAGAAGTTCTCGAAGTCGATCGTCTTGGGCAGAGCAAAATTTCTCGATCAAGAGTTCTTCGTCGTGTTTCCGGAGATCTTTGATGTTATACCCCTGCCTGTAATAGCTCGTTAACTTGGCCATGGCGACACCAAAAGAGTCAGATCCACGTTGGTAGTTCTCATAAAGGTGTTTCCAGTGATCTCGGGAGAAGCCAAGCACGTCTTCAAGTTTTGCTTTGAATGCATCCCATTCTTGAAGTTCAGTGTCCGTGAGAGAAGCAATGATGTGGCTCCCTTGCTCTTCGGCTAGCAGGGCACTGAGGGCGCACGTGATAAGTTCTTCATCGTTAAGCGAGGTGACCCGGCCATAAATCTCCATGTTTCGAATCCAGGCACTTATCGGAAGGCATGTATCATATTTCGGCGTTTTTATTCGTGCTTTGCCGGACTCAAACTTCCGTTTTGGCTGATATTCGGGTTCGCGTTCCTCCCTTCTATTTCGAGTGGGTTGTTTGTCTCGGTTCTTAGATGGCTTCTTTTCAGGTTTTTCTTTCTTGATCTCGGGCTTTGGTGGCGTAGATCGCTTTGGTTGAGAATTTTTCGGTCTCATGGTAGCGTTTGCTGACATATCAGAGTCGGAAGATGAGTCTTCATCGGTTACGTCAAGCTCTGGTAGACCCTCAGTATCACTCTCGACATCCAAAGAGGCCATTATCTTGCTCAAGGAATCAGCTTCTTGAGTTGCGACAATTTGCTCGAGGTTCATTTTATGCCGTGGGTGAGCAAATTTCTGCTCAACTTCCCCAGTGAAGTCGGGCAAAAATTCGACAAATTTACCGTCATTTGTCGGTTTAAAATGAAACTTTCGGTCTCTTTCGAGAAAACCCGGATCAACGAGTAAGATATTGCAAACAATGGATCGTTTGTCCGTGATTGGGATTTTTGTTGGGTAACACTTTCCCGGACAAGAGTCATAGATTTGCAATAGCTCATATCGAGTAAGATCAGAAGCGTTTTTGAAATATTCCCCTCCCATTATTATTTTGGTACTTACGTTTGTCGTCTTCTAACGGCAGCTCTCTTCGATCGTTAAGCACTTTTCACTGCAGCTCTCTTCGATCGTTAGCTCTCTTATTCTTTGGGCGTTCCGTTTGGTTCAGTCACCAATTTGTATAGGTTAGACTATTCTGCAAGGAAATAACACAACGCAACTTCAGGCAACTCTAGAGTTGAATGAAGGTTAAAAAGGGTAAAAGTTAGTTTTGGTTTATTGTCCACAAAAGTATCTCTGAGTGGTTAAGAATGAGAGTGTAAGAGGGTTTATATAGGCTTTACTTTAGCTTCGTATTCAGCTGGAACAGGTGATGGTCAGTAAGAACAGCTCGGATCGAAAAAAAGAGGTTCACAACGAGTTGTAGCAGTTCACAACGAGTTGTAGTGATTGAAGTTCAGAAGGCGTAGTTCAGATTCAGGAAAGACAGTTGAAAATGAACTACCTCATCTCGCGGCGCCGAAGGCCATTTCAAAAAAATGTAGGCGGCGCCCAAGAGCAGTGGTGAGGCGAGCGGGCGTCAGACGCGCAATTGCCTTTGGCGGAATTATGTGTTCTTTTTATGAAACGAGCAGAATAGTAAGACCTATAGGCATATTTGATCTCCAGATATTTGGCTTGAAAGGCGCTTGTAGCATTCAGGATGCTACGCGCTCGGCAACGGGCTAAAAACTCGAAAATTTGTCAGAGGCTCCTACTCAATTTTACAATGCCTCTGACTGGTATTACAAAATGAAGATTTTCCTATGCTTTATATGTTTGTTTAAGCTGGGATCTTCTAAAGAAATTTCAAGTCCCTCTACTTGTTTTCGCTTGTCAAACGATAGATTTTTATGCAACAGAGTGAATTTAGATTTTAGATATTCAAATCGAGACTTCGGGTTATTTTGCTGATATTTTTCATTGAATCCTGTCTGAAAAACCTCACAATTCTGTGCGTATACAGCTGTATCTTTCGATTTTTGCCCGTGGTCCCGAATTCTCATCAGTAAATTTTCGGATTCCCCAATATACTTCTCCCCACAATGACAGACAAAATGTGGTGTTAATACACCACATTAATGGCCTTTTCCTCTTCTGGCTTTAAGTTCAAGAAAACTCTAGAACTAAAACTAGAAATTTTTTTTTCTAGAGTTGGATTTTTCATATGTAGCTCTTCAGGTAGAGTGGCTCAAGGCGATTATTTTCCTGTATCAAACTCAAATTTTACATTTCTAGAAAAAAAATGAGAGCGTGGCAAAGTTTTGGACTTTTGGAACTTCAGTGAGTCATCGTGACGTCATTTTCGGGGACTCATCCTCTGAAAGTACTTTTTTCTGGTGTAACTTCTTGCGCTCTTTCTAGTGAGCACAAGAAACGGGGGTGCTAGGATTTCGAATCTCAACTCCTTATTTAAATTAACCTTAGGTAAAAGATTGGAGATAATTAGAGAATGAACAATTACGATCCAAAAAATGGCGCGCAGGCGCTCGTGAGCAGGACGCTCACCGACGAAGACTAAGCGACAAAAATGATAACTTCACTCACTCCACCCAACTGTTCAAGAGATATTAACATTAAATAAATCAAGTGTAAATTTACTAGGTGGATTCATTCTTATCAATTAGCAAGTATATCAGCAAGTCAAACACCTGTTAGCCGCCGGCCCACACCAGTCATTAGGAAAGCAGTCTTTGCCAGTATAGTCTATCAGGAATAACCTGTTTAATCTCTATTCGGTGACTGAAAAAACTAAGATGAGACCCCCCTCGTATAAAATGCACAGGTTGTCACTTGATGATATACCGTTAGTAAGAATGGAACAGTTATTAGCTAGGATGAGTTTTCCAAAGGGTAATAACGCGATTGAGTCCTACAAAAAAGAATACTTAAAAAGGCATGGAAAGAAAAATAGAAGCGAACCTCACGTCATAGCAATGGCACTTTATTTACTCAGTAAAAGCGAGGAAGAGCCATACAAAAATTTGTATATCGTTTTCGCAATGCCATACCTTAAACAAATCCCAATTGATCTCAATAAATTGGAAATAAAAACGTACGAACAATTTTACTCGGAAATCCCCGGAATAGTTAAGAATATTCCACTTTTCGATCCAAAACACATAACAACTACTGAAAATAACATTGGAAACGCCCTTAATTTCTTGTACAACAGACACGTTGTTGCGGGCGAAGATATTTCAAATTACCGATTTGCTCAGGATTTGACGAATGAAGAAATTTTTGATAAAGATCAAACAGTTGTAGAAACTACATACGTGAGAGATAAAGACGAAAATTTGTCGAATATTAAACTTAATGATAAAGACGAGTCATACATGAATATGTTGAGGGAGGACCTTGAAAATGAGGGAGAGGATGAGGATATAAAACCAACAAAAACTTACGGGGAGAAGGGATTTTTTAACAGAATGTCAGCAAAAGCAAAGGAAGCTTTTAACTTAACGAAAGACTTGGTAGATTCGGAATCAGGGGAATCGAATCAAGGGGATCCCGGGGAGCAAAGGGAATTTAGAACTTCATCAAGGGTGGATGGAGACCAAAATCGAGCTACGCTTCATGTAATGGAAACAGAGGAAGAGTTGAAAAATGTCCGGGTGAAGAGATTTACTGATAAAGATGATCGGGATGGGTTGCCGACATGGGTTGAAAATCAGCTCTTTAATCTTAAATTGCAAAATGGAAGTAAGAAAATTTCAGATAAACAATTTATCGGCTACATAGTGGCTGCGATTGATACAAAAACCATTTCGGAAAGGATCACTGATAAACTACGGGAGTTAGAGACCCAAGGGAAACCACTTAATATTGCAGCTTTCAAGAAAATTGTTGAAGAAGTGGCTAGAAAGCCAGATGAGCTAGTTTTGCGTGAAATCGAAATGCTCACATTTAACCCAGCCAGGGACACACCACAAAGTTTTTACAGAAGACTTGTTCGAATGGCGAGTGCTTCCAAAATGTTTCCAAATAATAAGGGACAAGCCAAATTTGCAGACATGCACTTTCGAAAGAGAATTTGCCCAAGTGACGCAGTTTTTCAAGTAATTAGTATGAATATAGTAGGAGAGGATTTAGTTAGGTTCGCAGAAAATTTTCTAAGCCAGAAGAAACTTGCGTCACTCAACAATGTGGAAATTGCACAGAAAAATGAGCAAAAGACTCAGAAAGATCAAAGCAAGAACTATAAAAATAATGGCTATAAAAATAATGGCAAAAATAACTATGGGAAGCAGAACTTCAAAGGTCAAGGAAGTAATTTACAGAACCCAGAAAGTTCTCAGAGCCCGGGTAATTATCATAATTATAACCCAAGACACCAAGTCGGCGGCGGTTTTAGACCTCAACAAAGAAATAATTTTTACGCACCAAGAGCTAACCAAGCTTGGGCACCACCAAATTTTCAGCAACAAGGCCCAGGGCCAATTCCTCGACAAAATAGACCGCCAATCGGTAATCAAGAGAGAATCTGCTGGGGTTGTGGGTCGTCCGGTCATATTTTGAGAAACTGCCCTAACAAGGAGAGCTAAGTGTGTTACCACTGCAAGCAGACCGGTCACTTTAGCAGACAGTGTCCACTTAAACAAAACAGCCAATAATCAGGACTTTTTAGGAGGACTCCTCCCTACTTTAGGATAAGATGTAATTTTTAGGAGGACTCCTCCTGTTTTGTTTTGTCTTGTTTTTAGTGACTATTTTACATTTTAATTTTTGAAAATCATAACAAAACCACGTATATAACCTTGTAAATAGGAAATATATGAAATTTTCTGAAATAACTGCTCTTTAAAAACGAACCCACGCTTTCAAAATTTTTGGGGAGGAACCCTCCCATTAGGATAAATATGTATAAAAGTTTGCCTTAAATTCAGCTAACGATAGATGGCTTTAATAACAACAAAACATGGTGTCTCTTGGATACCGGAGCATCAGTAAGCCTAATAGAAGAAAGCTTAGTTATCGAATTAAATCTTAAAAGAAAAAAAGCGGAAAATCTAACATTAAAAGGGGGAGATGGTCACGTTATATCCGAGCTCTCTGAGAAAACAGTGCTCAATCTTAAATTTGAAAAGGGAGGAAGTGTCCCGATGTGTGAGCTCTTTATAACGCCAAAAATTAGCTATAGAATTATTCTCGGGTACAATGTTATTAAATTTTTAAATATCAACTTCAAGAAATTGCCGAACCAAGTCAGAGGGATTTCAATCCACTCATTTTCCGTAGAAGCTCGAGTGACTGAGCCAGTACATATTTCTTCGCTTCAAAATTTGAAATACATTACGGAAAACAATTTAATTACGCAAGAAGATACAGTCACTCAACCTCGGTCGCGGTTTCAGATAAAGATTAATTTAAAATTTCAGAAGCTCGACCGACATAAAAAGGATAAAATGGAATTACTTCCTGATCCAGTACCCAAATTACGAGCGGAGAACATTGTTTTTGAAGGACTTAATTTACATACGGGAATTTTAACGGGTTTCAATAAAGGCGAGGGGTTGATTATTATTGATAGAAATGCTCTGGTTGGAGAGATCGGAGTGGCGCAAAGGGAACTAGCGGTTTTAAATACGCTCATTTTAACGGAGAGCTTGAGTCCCCCAGAATATAAACAAATTGAAAGCGAATTTCAAACTTGGGAAAGGAGAAGAAACGAACTTATTGAGTCCGTTGATTTTGATAAAATTATCATGGAAAAAGTAGAGGAAACTAAGTTAGACAAAATTTTTAATGAGGATGAAATTTTAATTATTCTTGCTATTCTGAAAAGATTTTCGAAAGTCTTTGCTAGATCCGATTCAGACGTTGGTTTTAACAAGAGATTCGTTGTAACATTCGAGTTTAATAAAGAAATGCTACAGCCCGAGCAAAGATCTGCTTATCGAAATCCATCGGCGGATCAAAATAAAATTTTGGAGTTCTTGGAGGGATTAGAGTTAAATGGAACAATTGAGAAAAGTAATTCTAGTTGGTCAAGCCCATCGATGTTCATTCCGAAAAAGAATTCGAAGTTGCGAATGGTGACAAATTTTAAAACCTGGCTAAATGAGTGTTTGCATGTGCCCCAATGGCCAATTCGACCTATTCGAGATCTATTCTATTCCATAGCTAGCCACATAAACGAACTTAAGAAATACAGTGAGTCAGAGATTTTATTTACATCTGTAGATTTAAAATCAGGCTATTTCACACTTGCGCTAGAACCGAAAATTCGGAAATTTACAGCTTTCAGCGGGCCAAATAAACTTTACCAATATCATATATTGGCAATATGCAAAAATGTCTCAAGGGCTAAGCCTTGCACCAGCAGTCTTTTCGCAATTTATCGCTGAAACTTTTGTTCTTCCAGAAAATCTAGCGAAATTTTTCAGAATCGAACTGTATATCGACGATATTTTGCTCATCCATCGTAAAGATAGCACTGAACAGGCACTAAGCTGGCTTCTTTCAATAATTTTGAAAAACAATTTAGTTCTAGATATTAAGAAAACGCACATAGCTAAGCGCAAAGTTGACTTTTTGGGTTTTTCAATAAATTCGATCGGAATCACTCCTCTGAGAAATAAAATGGAAGGACTTCTGAAAATGGAGTCACCAAAAACTCAGAAGCAAATTCAGAACTTTATGGGTAGCTGCAACTTTTTCATTAGATCTCTGCCAAGAGCCCAATTTTATCTAAGTGCATTAGCAAAGGAAAGCTCGAATAAAGATTTTAAGGGTAGCAAGGAAGTTGACGAAGCGGTAGAAAAATTTAAAGTCGAAATCAACAAGGAAAATCTCACGTTTCATCCGATTCCTTGTAAGGGGAAAAGTTAAGTTTTAGCGGTTGATGCGAGCCTGGAAGGTTTCGGAACAGTCTTTGGAATAGGAAAAGTGGTAGATACGGAAATCCAAGACTTTAAGCCCATTGCATTTGGGTCAGGCGTTTTTGAAGAAAAATTAAAGCTAGAATCGAGTCGCAATCGCGAGCTTATTGGGATTCAAAGAGCTTTGGAGTATTTTAAGGATATTTTATCGGAGGCTGTACCCGTAACGGTAATTTGTGATCACAAAAGTATTTGTAACTATAAGGAAAGTGAAGCGCTTAAAAAATTTCCAGTGACACGAGTCAGGAAAGCCCTTTCAACACTTTTTCAGTACCCGAATCTAGAACTTAGATATGCATCAGCGAAAGATGAAATAATTCAAATTTGCGATGGCCTATCCAGAGCAATATCAACTTCCGGGAAAATCGAACAAAGCGAGATAGTAGAGTGGGTGGGAGGAGTCCTCCCAAGTGAAAATCTTAACCATTTCGAAGTTCTTCAGGACTACAAATACAGGCATCTGTCTGAAATAACTCTGGATTTACAAGAATTGAAAAATGCGCAGGACGCTGACTTTTTTTGTCAAGAAATTTTTCGTTTGAATAATAACCAGACAAATTGGAATATTGGACCTGATGAATTCCAAGAAGGGGAAGGAGGAGTTTTGATGAGATTTGACCATAGAAAAAATCATTTTTGCTACGTTATTCGGGAAAAACAAGCAAAAGAAATACTCATCACTCTCCATATGTCCTACGGGCATAGTGCGGAAGCCGCGATTTCGAAAAAACTGGAAGTTGATAGAATTTTCATTAATAATAAAATTAACCTGATGCGAGAAATGCGTGCTAATTGCTATCTTTGCGCGTTAAGGCAGAAGCCGCACAGAAGTCAGCCAATAAGACACATGACATTGCCGATTTTTCCTTTTCAGAAATTTAGCTTGGACCTTTTGGTCTTAGATAAAAAATCGGAAACGGCGCCATTTGGAATGTCATTCTTAGACGAATTTTCAGAACATCTCGATATTATGCCAATTTTGCATAAAACGTCGAAATCAGTTATAAAAGCGATGACTATTTAAATTTTCAAATATTCACTTGGTCCGGGAAACTCGATTTTGCGTGACGGAGGATCCGAATTTAGGAGCGACGAGTTTCGCATTTTTCTGAAAAAATATGGGATAAGGCATTCAAAACCAACGGGATACAATCCTACTGCCAACCCAGTTGAAAGGGTGCATAAAATCTTTAGGAGACATTTAGAAGCGTGCAAAAGTTAAGCTGACGAGCTAAACATGAATGATACGGAGAGACTACAGCTAGCTCAAAACAGTTACAACTCGAAGCCAAAGCAAAATTTAGGTTTTAAAGCTCTGGCAGAAATTTTATCGGGACAGCCACAAAATCTTATTGTTAGGCCTCGGACGTAAAAAATCATCACCACCAGCCGGTCGTCACACGGTAACAAGAGTAGGCTCATTCGAAAGCTCTTGAACAGGGCTTTCTGTTGGGTGTTTCCTGGTTTGGTAAAAAAAATGGTTTGGTAAAGATCATGGTTTGGTAAGGATCCTGGTTTGGTAAAGGTTCCGAAATCTTACCAAATCAGGATTTTTACCAAACCATGATTTTTACCAAACCAGGAAAATTCGCTGACAAAAATCTCAAAAATCAAAAACTGAAAACATCGACTCTAATGATTTCTACTTGACCCCCCCTCTAGACCAATCTTTGAAGAATATAATTTGATTTTTATTTAAATACTATCTTATCTTGGATCAAATTTTATTCTAAAAATAGTTCGGCATCCGAAAAGTTCTTCTTCGCCTCTTCAAGCTGCTTTCTCAGCGTTTTGCTCTTTTCTCGAATTTCCGTCTTTGCTTCAGGTTTGGAGCTGGAAAACCTTCTTTTTGCTTTGAGTCGCCATTTCGTTGATTTTCCCTGTTTGACGATGTAGTACGAACACGACGGATTGCTTAAAAATATTATTATCTGTGAATCACTGTCAAAATGCAAATAATATTTGGACCACGGTCTCTAGAATCAATATGTCATGCGTTCATATTTTGAATGTATATTAGTTTGCATCATGTCTATGCAGGAAGCAAATAAGACCGGCTGGGTCGCAAACAGTGCACAACGCAAATGGCCAATCGTTAAACCTATGCAGGAAAGATAAAGCAATATTATTAGTAATAATTTATTACAGTCTACTATACAATCTACTACAAGTAACCACTCGGAAATTGATATTTATCTTCCATAAGCTTTCAAAGTTCCAACAAATACTTGATGGCTCATATAAATGCCCATTTCTTGTTTCTATTCTACCGACGACGAAAAACGGAGCTATACGTTTTTTTTTCAAGATCGAAAACATGCTCTACGAATATCATACTCAACTGGCCGATTTTTTAAAAAGTATCCTTTGGAACAAAAAAGGAATCGTTCTGATAATCATGACACTTGCTTTTAATTTGAAAAATATGACTTCATATTATCAAAACAAAAAAGCAAAAAAATATACGGTACGTGTCTACTGCAAAGCAAAAAACAGAGGATGCACGGCAAGAGTTCACCTTGAAATTATATGTGCAGACCCGACGAGTCCCGAGTTTTGGAAGACTGACAATTTCATTGTCTTGTCCGCTTCAGGAAAGTTCAGAAAAATAGCTTACAAGTACCTTTGATAACTGAGATTTGATTAATTGCTTCCATTTTGTTGATTGCTGGTGATTCTGGAAGCAGATCGATTTTCGGATTTGAGCCGTTGTAAAATGCTGTCTGTTGTCTTTTGCGAGCATGCCATGCATTAAAGTATCCCCAGACAAGAGTTCTTTCTTTGCTTTAGCGTCGGCTATCGCAACTTTAACCTCTTTCTCGGGCTCAGCAACTTTAGCAGAAAGCTCAACCTTATCACCAACAGCAGCAAGTTCCTCTGATCGAGTTACTTTCTGGTTGAGCGATTCGATCTTCTCTTGGAGTGGAGTTGTGAATCCTTCAGCGTTAGCTGAATCTTTTCAATTTCTTTTTTTCGCCGCGAATTGGCTCGGTAGATTTGACTTCTGGAATTTCTTTCAAGCTTGCAAGCTTGCTTTCTTCGTCGAAAAGTTTATAATATTTTTGAAGCTTTTCACGCATCAGTTTCCACTCCTCCTCATTCTTGGTCATTTTTTGAGTCTCGAGCTAGAAAAAAAGCTAAAAAAAGGAAGGACATTATCTGTTTATGCCATGTTCTTGTACTGATTCTTTAGCTTTTCTATCTCCACTAGCGTCCTTTTGAGCTCGTCCTTGTCCTTTTGCAAGCGTTGAACGACTTCATCAGACGCTTACGAGCTCTTTGCAAGTCGAACTTCGCGATTTAGCCTTTCGACGTCCTTTTCGAACTTGCGAACGACGCTTTCGAGCTCAATAACTTTGTCTTTCCACTGTCTTTCCGCAAGATCTCTTCTGGATCGACTTCACGCTGCTTCTCCTCCAACGAGCGCTTGGCATTTTGAAGTTCTTTGACCTCATTTTCCAAGAGTCCGATCTTCTCATTTTTCTCAAAGATCTGCGTGTCGAGCTCACCAAATTTTCGTTGAAGAATTTCGACTTGCTTTTCAAACACGCCAGAATCTTTTTAAGATTGGGCCGAAGAAGCTTCCGTCGCAGCGAGCTTGTTTTCGATCGTTTTTCGCTTCTCAACTTCTACAAAAGGGGTTAAAATTGATTCGATAATGCCTTTTAATACCTTGCTCGTTGAACTCGCACGCTTGCTCCAGTCGCTTTCTGAGATAATCATTCTCGATCTTCGTCTTTTCTTTTCCAGTACTGGACTCCTGAAGAACTTCGTACTTGACCTTGACTGCTTCCAGTTCGTCGATCGTCTTGAACAGTGTTGCGCGTTCCTCATTCAGCTCAGAGACTTGGATTTTGAATTCTGTCAGCTGAGCATTCTTCTCTTCCAACTCTTTGTTGAGGCTTTCTTTCAGCGGCTCATCTTTTTCGCGGGCCGAAGTCAATTCTTCGATCTTTTCTTGGAAGCTCTTGAACTTCATCGCGCTCTGCAGAAGCATCTCTTCCTGATGAGCCTTCTCTACTTTCAGGGTTAATGATATTTGAATGTTTGAGGTTTCTGAGGCAATCCAATTTTGACAATCCTAAATAATAACGTTATTCCTTCTGAACTCTAAAAGACTGCCATTCTTCGACAAAGGCAACTAAAGACTATATGACGAAACAAAATGCCGCCGAGAAGAAAGCTGCCAAAAAAAAAAGCCGCTGAAAAAAAGCCGCAGATAAAAAAGCCGCTGAAAATAATGGCGCGAAGCAAGAGGCGGCCGTAAAACTTGAAATCAAGGAAGAGAAGCCTCGCCTGCCCGAAAACTGTGCTGTTAAATTTGAGACGCTAGAGCAGATGCACAGCGACTGGATCAGTATTCTTAATCAACACAAACGCAACCCGATGAAGCGAGATGTCGAGAGAGCGCAAAAAAGGGAAGATGTTTGTCTGGAATTTATCCAGTTGGAATTTACGAACACGAACAGCGTTGTAAACAAACTCCAAGCAAATAGGAATTCCTATTATCGAAAAAAACTGAAGCTCGAGAAAACTGATCCCTTCGAACAAGGGGACTATCTTGGATTATATCGCTGGCGGTGCAAATTTGGAGAAGATTTTAATCACGAGGCATTTCGGAAGTTCCTTATTCTTGCCACTGACCATGATCTTTCTTGGATGGCAAAGGCAACAATTTTGGCTGTAGACGGAAATTTCGCACTAGTCGATGAGCTAAAGAAAGAGCTTGGAATGGGTAAATCAACGCAGCTCGTGATATTCCAGCAACCTATGCGTTGGTGCGAAACTCAGACAAAAGATTTTTGTAGTGGTAGAGTATACGCGCTCTTGCCTGACAAATCTCAAGAAACGTACAAATTGCTCTTGGAAGGATTAAGGTCCGGTTTCATAAGTGAAAAATGCTTACATGTTAGTGAGGTCTTCTTGATCTTTGTATTTGGAGTAGAGATTTGTTGCTATTTTGCTGAAGTCTTCTATGCTTTTTACACAATATTTCCGCCGGTATCTTCTGGAGTCAGGCTGTGTGTCTAAAAAGAGATTTAGTTGAATAGAAATGATGTTGATATGAAGCCTCAAAAAGTACTGTTACGTCTTTCGATTGCCTAAAAGGAATCTCTTTGGATATGGAGAGTGGGTGGATTTCCGCGTTCAAGAATTTTTTTGGACCGCGAGTCGACCTGTACTATTGCCAGTGGCACATGTTCGAAGGAATTTTTCAAAATTTATTTGCGTTTTGTTATTGCAGCTTTCAAACCTTTTTTCAGATCTGAAATATCTTATCTTGATCACGAAATGCATTTCATACAATTTTTTTTGAAAATTAATAGCCTTCAAACGATATGCCAAAGGTCAATGTGGTTTAGGAAAAGTTTGGGATACTGAGGAATCGTTACGAGTGCGTCAGTTGGTGTATAGCCTTGGTTACTTGCCGCTGGAGGACGAAATGGTTAATCAATGCTTTCTTTCTTTGCTTCAAGAAGAAATAGAAAAATTGGAGTTGAGCAATTCTGGCTGGAGAGAATTCTTTAATTACATTAAAGACAATTATTTGGATTATGGCGGTAAATACTCCCCAAAAGGAAAGGTTGAAAATGAGAAGCAAACATACCTCTTTACTAAACACGATAAGGGCTGATGTAGCTTTGTAAAAGTAGTCAGAGACAGCCCAAGATGAATTAACGTTGAAATCGTCCAGGAAGGTTTGAATCGGCGTTCTCAAAGAACTCTTGAAAAAAAAGTTTTCTTGCAGCAGTTGATTATTGGTCTTTTACCTGAGTTATGAGGGTGTTAGTTGTGTACAAAATTGTAGCGAATCAAGTAGCACATAGGTCCAATAGGATCGGTAGGAAAGGCGGCCGAGATCTGAGAGGGGATCTCTTTCCAGCAGCGCCTCGGAATCAGAATCGAAGTCGTCGTACTCAATAACTGGATTTTCCGGATCTTGATTTTTCCTGTTGAGCCAGTGTATGTGCAGCAGGGCTGGATATTTTGAAATCAGCAAAAATTTCAAATCAATATTTGTGTGAAATCTCATTTCTATCACAAAATTTTGCACCATCTCAACAAATCTCAAATCTCAAATTATTGCAACACCCTCGTCATAATTTTTTCCAGTCTTGAGATTGCTGAGATCTCAAGATCTCAAATCGCAAAATTTTGCAAACCGCGCACGGGCCGCGGATAAAGTTTGCGCACTTAGAGCAAGACATGTGATTGGTTCAGATGGATCTGAAATGCATGAAATTTCAGAATCTCAAATCTCATTTCATTGCAACGCATGTATCCAACTCGCGCCATTTTGTGAGATAATTGAGATCTCAGCATTTCAATGTCATTTTTTTGCAAAATTGAAAATTGAGATCTCAGACAGAAAATTAGCTGAGATTTCATTTTTGAAATGGTTGAGATGATGATTCATGTTTTTTCGGGGTTTGAAATTTTTGTTGATTTCAAAATATCCAGCCCTGATGTGCAGAGCTGGAAGGTCGCAGCGCGGGTCCACGAACACGTGCTCCATGAAATGCGGAAGAAGCTTTTTGTTGAAAATGTCGTCAGAAGAGCAGTGCAGCTCGTAGTCGCAGCTTGTCGGGCGCGAACCTTGCTGCACTTTGGGGAAGCCGGTCAGAAAGTCGGGAGTGACATAATTGTAAAATCCATTTTGAACCTTGAACTTTTCCTCCAACACTTCTCTGATCGCATCGTGCAAGTACGGCTTCGTGTAGGTTATTTTGATGTACAGTCTTTTTTCCGTAGTGTAGCCGTAAAACGGAGTCCGCCAAAATGGCTTCAGTTTTCCAAGAAATTCGCCTCGTACTCTTTTTAGTTGGTTCAAAAGCGAGTCTTCCATGATTTAAAAAAGCTGTTTTTTCGGAACCGTGCATGAGGCGCGCGTCGTTTTTCAAAAGCTCGAGGACTGCGTTTATGTCTCTTTCGAGCACATGCGGATTCGTTGCAATGTAGAAATAGGGAGCAGCAAATAGTATCAGCAGTCAATCTTGTACCGACCGAGTTGTATGCGGGCTATGTATTTTATCTGAAGAAACTTTTAGTGATCGCTCTTTTTTTAGCGAAAAAACCTTGGTAATCGCCTCGTTTTCCTTTTCTAGTGGCGGGAAATCTTTTTTTATTTCAGTAGCGGGATCCATGTCAGACAGAAGCATCGAGACGTGATTGAACTCGTCGTATTTCCTCTTTTTGTTTCTCGTCACCATCGACTCTTCTTGCTGATCGTTTGACGATGCCACGTTGGAATCTTTTTTTCTTGCTCGAGCTTCTCAACTGAAAAATTAAAATTTCAACTTCGTTTCAAGTTCCAACTAACCCAGATAATTTTAATTACAGTCTCTATTATACAGCTAAAGCTATAAAAACAAGGATGAGGCGTGTCTTACCTAGTAAACATTCGAATATCCCAGAGTTTGTTCTTCCGCTGTTTCTCAGCAGGAAACGATTACGCTATCACCTCCAGCGAATGCTTAATAATCGCTAAACTTCTCAAAGCACACGGCATTCAAAAAATGGTTTTGTTCTTTCTGACTGGCGGTGAAAACAGAAGAATATGCCCTTTAAAAGTGAGCACACTTGTATCTTCTTCATCCACTTCAACAACTGTATTCTGATGCCCTGTGGGAACATAATCGTGTCGGTAGTCCCAGTAGTCGTCTGCGATTTGAGAGGTGAACTTTTCCGTCGCCTCCGGTCTAAGCAGACGGTTTGTCTCTTATGAAGAAGTTAAAGAAATATTACCTCGTAAACATTCGAATATCCCAGAGTTTGATCGCTTGATCTTTCGCTGATGTGAGTACAGTTCTTCCATCATGCGCCGTATAGATGTACGCGATTCCGTCAGCATGACCAGCAAAGTATCCAACAACTCCCTTTTCTCGTTTGTTTCCAAACAAACGCATGTCTCATCAGGAAAGGATTCCGCTATCACCTCCAGTGAATGCCAAATAATCGCTAAACTTCTCAAAGCACACGGCATTCAAAAAATGGTTTTGTTCTTTCTTACTGGCGGTGAAAACAGAAGAATATGCCCTTTAAAAGTGAGCACACTTGTATCTTCTTCATCCACTTCAACAACTGTATTCTGATGCCTCGTGGGAACATAATCGTGTCGGTAGTCCCAGTAGTCGTCTGCGATTTGAGAGGTGAACTTTTCCGTCGCCTCCGGTCTAAGCAGACGGTTTGTCTCTTATGAAGAAGTTAAAGAAATATTACCTCGTAAACATTCGAATATCCCAGAGTTTGATCGCTTGATCTTTCGCTGATGTGAGTACAGTTCTTCCATCATGCGCCGTATAGATGTACGCGATTCCGTCAGCATGACCAGCAAAGTATCCAACAACTCCCTTTTCTCGTTTGTTTCCAAACAAACGCATGTCTCATCAGGAAAGGATTCCGCTATCACCTCCAGCGAATGCCAAATAATCGCTAAACTTCTCAAAGCACACGGCATTCATGTCGTAGTCGTTCTTCTGATCCAATTTTTTGAACGCTTGGAGTTGCGCTTTCGAAGTAGTTTTTCACCTCGTCGATGAAGCAATGTTTGAAAATGGACTTGAACGAAATTGGGTACCCAAGAACTCGGAAGCCAAGAAAGATGATTGCTTGAACATCTGGCAGGGAAACTCGCTCATAATTGACCGAAGTGGTCTTTCTCTTGCGCTTGAGCTTTTTCACTCGATTGAGAGCAACTTGAGCTTCAGGTTCAGAATCGGAAGAAGTGAATTCGAAGTGAGTGTTGTTCCCGGCCGAGTAAATTCCAAGTTCGACGTCTTTCGGCGTCTTTTTGTACTGCATCGGATCGTAGCTCGTTTTTTCGAGTCCATTGAAGCCGTCGTTCTTGATCGCTCGGTACATGTGCAAATCGCGGTCGCGGAAGTTGACCGGGTTGGAGTCGGAACCAAAGCACAACAGTCGGCCGCTAAGATAGGTAAACCACATTTCGCGCAAAAGTAGAAGGATCTTTGAAGAAGTAGATTCATCGAGCTGCAACTCTCGGCAAATTGAGAGGGCTTTTCCTCGGAGAATTTGCTGTAAAGCTTCGATTGTCTCGTAAGCTCTTAAGTTTCGCATCGATCTTGGCCTGCTTCTCCTGTTCTTGTTTTGCCTTGTTCTCGTTGGCTTTCAGTCGTTGTTGCTTTTTCTTTCGCATGTATTCTTCTCTCTGCTTGGCAACGTGAACTGATTCATCTCCGACGACTAAAAGCATCAATTAATAAGTTTTCAAATTTTCAACCTTTTAAAAGACTGGTGCGGCAATAACAAGCGAGTTCAAGAACGCAATGAATCGATTACCAACAATTCCGTTGAAAATGAAAATAGTATATTGACGCAGTCTGGTCATAGAAAAAAGCCGAATGCAGAAAATTTTATCTCGCGATTGTATAACCACAAATACAGTAACATGCAAAACGAAATGTCGATTATGGAAGGAAAATCAAAGCTGCCACTTTACAACAACCACGACCTCTTAAAGAGGTTTACTAGAGGAAACGCGCTCCGCCGCCTTCACCAATGTACTCGACGACTATGCGGTTCAATATACAGTCTTACGGAAGCGGATATTTTGAATGTTCAACGACATATTCGTAATGCATGCAGTGATATATTTAACGCAGACAGTATTTCGACCAGTGCCCTTATCAATCAAGAAGCATTCATAGCCTACATGAAGAAAATTCCTAACGACGTGTATAAATCGAAGCTCGAAAAACAGTTAAGTTATATTGGTGATCCTGTTTTCAAAAAGAAAAAAAAAAGAAACTCAAAATTTCGAAGAAGATGATGAAATCAAGGAAGAGAAACCTGACTCGGCGCAACGAAAAATCACAGATTTCTTTGGTAATAAGTCTGGAGCATTTGTCAAACCTGCCAAAACTGATGTCGTCGACGAGCAAAAAGATCCAAAAGTCGTCATTCTCCATCCAGATCCTGAGCCATCGGTCAAATCGACATCTGAAATTGGGAAACTTAAGTTATCGTCTGCTTTGCAAAAAGAAGTGAATCGACATCTCAAGAAAAAATTGAGAACAAAAAAGTCGAAGGAAACATGTATTGCAACGATAAATGGCTATGACTTAAGATGTGAAATTTTTGCTGATCTAAAGCCGAGAGTTGGCCTGAGCGACAGAATAATTGATATTTACTCGAGTATCCTGGAATCTGAAGCTGACAAACTTGGAAAATCATTATTAATCAAAAGCGCTCTTTATTTCACTCAAATTAATGCTGGGATGCCATCTGGAGCTTCAGCGAATCCTCATCTTTCAAACGAAATATATATGCCGATAAAATGCAGTACACGTTGGCATTGGCTTCTGTTACGAATCATTCCTAATACGAAGAAAATGATCATTTATGACAGCTCAATACTCGAAAGTCTAACTGAAGAAGTGCATAGAGATTATACTGACATTTTCTCGACAGTCAAAAACCGTTATCTGTATGCGTTCAAATCCGAATGGAAGGAGGAAATCGCTGATTGTCCGCAACAAAAAGCAGGGACCAATAATTGCGGATGTTATACACTTATGGCGATGCGCTGGCTTATTTTTGATGAATATAACGAGGAATCGATCACTCCGCGAGAAAACTTACGAAAAAAAATTGGAGAAGAACTTATCGCTGGCCGTCTTCTTTTTTAAAATTTGTATCTTACCTTATTTTTTGTCCAGTAAACAGTCCGATTCTGTCGAGTAAATTAGCGTTCCGTTATCAGCGCAACAGCCTCTTAAATTTGAAATAAATCCACTTGATCATCAATAGCAACGAACCTAGGCGACTGGGCTACAGAATGAACCTCTCGTAAGCTCTTCAAGTCGTAGATATTGATCTCGCTTGCTTTCATGTCTGTCCGTAGTTTCTCAGCTGGAATTGTTACTGGAATGATAGCGAGTCGTTTAGAGAGATTGGTACGAGAAAAAATGACGGTTTTGGAGAAAGTAGCGATGAATATGCGGAAGCTATCAATTGCGATTGCAAAAATAGCTGTCGATGTCGAAAGACTTCTGAAAATATAGTCAGATCTGTGTGTCTCGATATTGAGTACCTGTAATTGTAGCTCCTTCCCTTCTTCATTCAGCCGCCAAAGTCGAATTCTTCCATGCACGTCTGCAGTAAACAGCTCATCTCCTTCCATAACCATGTCTGAAATGCTTGCCCGTTGTCCGTTCGCGACCAAATCAGTGGTAAAAACACTCTTGTCAGGAAAAACGGCAAGGATGGAACCAAAGGTAGTGCCGACAAAAACAAGACGGTGGCTTTCTGAATTTTAAGAAAGGTTGATCCATCTGGATCACCTGAAAATTAATAGAAAAATGATAATTGTTAAAAGAAACAAAAAATAATGAATAGTAAAGAGGAAACAAATGAATATATCGTGATCTTCTTATATTTCCTCTTTTATATTCTTCATTTTTCTTCTCTGATCTTGAATTCTGAAAGAAAAATGGCTTTGCGAAGCCTCGCCCAATCGGAGCATAGCCCGCCCGAATTCAAAAATTTTACTTGATTTCGTGAAAAATCAGGAAAACTGAATATTTTGCCTCAAAATTATTTTACTGACTTCAAAAATTATTTTAATTTTAAGATTTTATGCGTCGAGAGGGGGGTTAAGTAGAAATTGTAAGAGTCGATATTTTCAGTTTTTGATTTTTGAGATTTTTGACGGCAATTTTTCCTGGTTTGGTAAAAATCATGGTTTGGTAAAAATCCTGATTTGGTAAGACTCTAGAATCTTTACCAAACCAGGATTCTTACCAAACTATGATTCTTACCAAACCAGGAATTTTACCAAACCAGGAAACACCTTTCTGTTGGGCTTATAAAAAAACTGGGCCCTGTCCTCCTTTTTCGAGATATTTGATTTTAAAGGTAAGCTTCGAAAAATATTTTTCAAAATGACTCGTAACAGAAAGGGAGGGCCCAGTTTTTTTATCGGTTTAATAGAAAGCCCTTATCAAGACCTTTCGAATGAGCCCCTTCATGTTCCCGTACGATGACCAGATAGTGAAAATCGTCTTTTTTACGTCCGAGGAGACACCATAAAGGAAGGTGATGTAGTAATTGTCGTAAATAACAAAACTCTTGGTCATGGGAACGCCAGTACAGGGCCGTATCTGGTTTTAAGGAATAATAACGGGGCCGTAGAGATAGAACATATGGTAAATGAAACCAGGTGCATCAGGAATGAGAAAATGATTCGCAAATTGTTCATGACTGAGAACATGAAAGAGGCTGTGCGCAACCGCGCAGTCCGTCTCAGCGACGACGGAATTTTTATGATCAACGACAAGCAAGCCCCAGCGCCACTCGATCCAAAAACAGATCCTTTTGAACCCGACCAGTACTCAAATATTCACCAGAGAGCAACCCAAAATTCACAAAACAGAATCGAACCCAATCAGGGGTCTGGATTCGCTTTGCGAATTCGCTCATGAGCGAAGCGAAGCGAAGCGAAGCGAATTCACTTCGCTTCGCTTTCGCTTTTTGTAATTTCAATTCGCTTCGCTTCGCTTCGCTTCGCTTTCGCTTTTCTCGAACTCGACGATGAAAATGTTGCCTGCGAAGAGCTCAAAATGAGATTCTAGGGCGAGCGCCTCAGGGCAGTGGCCGGTTAGCTCAGTTGGTTAGAGCGTCGTGCTAATAACGCGAATGTCGCGGGTTCGATCCCCGTACTGGCCATTATTTTGGAGGGTGAGATTTGAAATCTCAGATTTCAGTTTTTAACAGTTTAACATTTATTATCAGTTTTCAGAAAATCATAACCAACGGTTTCGGATTTGTGCAATTCGTAGATTAAAGCAATCACTGTTTCATTATCAATTAATTTTAAAACGCTGGAGGATACAAATCATTCTGGTTCAAAAGAGAAATCATTTTACTAGATAACATTTGTTTCGAGATGCAGGGAGCATTCTTTATATTGCTTCTTATCAATCTTCTTATCTACCCCTTATAAAAATAGATCGAACCAAACCAAAAAAATGGGTAATTCGGGACTCGATCCCTCAGCGTCTGGGTACAAATCCTAACGCTTTATCAACCTAACCAACTCGCCGTACTGCCCTAGGGCGCGTTTCCGCTTATCACTTTTCATTTTGAGCCCATTTTCCTTCTTGATAATCACCGACCGTTGCAGGATAATAGAGTCCATCTTTCTGTCTCCTCGCAAGAACTTTCGTCTCTCGCAGAATCGCCGAGGAAGTGGGTACGTGATTGATCAGCTTTTTTACAGTGGCGTTGTACGCATCTTATCATTGTTTTCCTGTTTAACTAGCAAATGCCTGATCTTTACCTTTTGCGCCCGGTTGACAAGTTTATGTTTGCCCAGAGTTCAGAACTTACAGCTTTATCAAGTTTTCGATTCAATACAGTAACTGCTCATAAGTACAGTTGTGTCAACCGGGACCTGTAACGTTGACGACCTGGGCGGGCAATACAGTGGGTACAGTAGCAATCGGTCCCCATGGAGTTTGCTGGACAAAGATTTGACGACCTGAAGTTAAAGATGAAGTTTTTAGCCTTGAAAACAATGTGGATTTATTTCAAATTTAAGAGGCTGTTGCGCTGATAACGGAACGCTAATTTACTCGACAGAATCGGACTGTTTACTGGACAAAAAATAAGGTAAGATACAAATTTTAAAAAAGAAGACGGCCAGCGATAAGTTCTTCTCCAATTTTTTTTCGTAAGTTTTCTCGCGGAGTGATCGATTCCTCGTTATATTCATCAAAAATAAGCCAGCGCCATCGCCAGTTCTTGAAATGGACGCTTTTTCAAAGGTTAAATATTTCCGGAAAATTTTCGCTTTTTTTCGCTTTTTCGAAAAATTTTTCGCTTCGCTTCGCTTTCGCTCACAAAATTTTGATTCGCTTCGCTTCGCTTTCGCTTAAAATTTTTGAAAAATTTTCGCTTTCGCTTCGCTTTCGCTTTTCATTTTTGGCCAAAATCCAGACCCCTGACCCAATAATACGCCATCGAGATTTCATAACCCCGGATATGAACGGAATCTTAGACCGAGGAGAATAATAAATAATCGAGAATGAGGCTTTTTCACCTTTTTCTTATAAAAG